TTACAGCAGGCTGAAAAAAATAATAAAATTTAGTGAATGCTAATGCGTTTTAATTTCTGATCCAGCAACAGCAGGAGAGGGACTTTATGCCCCCAAGGTCCACTACAGATGGAGAAATTCAGTAAAACTTGTACAAAGTTCTAGTTTCAGAAGCTGTAAGTTGACCAGACACTGCTTGTCACTTTAAGCATCCAGCTGCTGGCTGTTTTCAGAGAACGTTACCTCATTAGCCACTGCCAAGTAAATTGACATTTTCATTTTTCTAGTCCAGAAAAAAAAAAAATTAATTAACATTTGAAACAAGTTGCTAAAAAGCAACTCATAGTCAACCACAGCACGTACAATTATAAAAAAGGGATAGTTTTGAGGTCACCATTCTGTTAAGGCAAACTAGAAATTTGCCATAACAATTCCATCGACATCAGGCTGGAAGAAATCCCTAGGTCTGTGCTGAAATCAGTCACCCACACAGGAGGGTAAATGCACGCCACATCTGAAGGTAAAAGATACACATTACCCAACTAAGCCATTTCAAGCTGACAGAAAAACAGAACTACCAGGAAATCAACACTATCAGACATTTTAACCAAAAAACATATCATCTTGAAGCTACTCTGGATTGCATTTTATGTTCAGTGCTTAAAATGGCTAGAGATCTACATGGAGCGGGCTGCAACAGCACAAAACCTGGTCTATTGAGCCTCTTTATTTCTGTAATAATCCAGGAAAACTGTAACTAAGTCTACTTAAGCATTTATCACCAACAAACAATTCTGACAGATCTAAAATATAATCATTCCTCCCACGTGCTAATGACAGAATGGCTAGAACTAAACGGTATCCCATAATAATTTTACGTGTATGAAGTGTTCCATTTCATTTAGTGATATTATAAAAGTGATGCATTGGCCATAACCTTTACTGTTTACAATCTGCAGCAAGCTATACCCTTCTCAAGGGAGACTAAATAATCAAGAAAATGTTATTCACACTATGTATTTGAGAAAAGCAGACCGCTGTGCCAGTTACAGATTCTTTCCTATATTAAGAAGGATGTGTGCTAGCCTAGAACGGAGGGGGGAAGAGAAGAGAAAAGATTGAGGTTTGTTTGATTCCCAGCTGAAAAGAAGGTCATACGTTCATGCACTGAAAAAATTTTCCTTTAGTCCAACAAAGCCTGAAGAGCAAAAAAATTTAAATGTTAGTTTTGAGTAGCTGCTGAAAACACTTCATTATAGGGAAAGAAAACTGAGAGCTCTGAAGAACCATACAGTGACTCACAGGACTACAAACGGAAAGATCCAGAAGTAGTCAGATTTCCAGAATATCCATTAGAGGTAAGTATTTTAATGATAACATTTGTTTAAAGTATTCTTTATTAATATTGCTTATGCACCATTTTCCACTCAAAGATCACAGTGATTGATACAGGCTGTAATGAATGAAGTGTAACACCTTCAGAAAACAGATGCTACATTATTCATTTTACAGATAAGTAAATGCAAGTATGAAAAATTAAGTGACTTGCCCTAGTCAGAGAGCCAAAAGCACAGCTGTGAATATAATCCAGATATCCCAGCTTCCAATGATCTGTTAACCGCTAAACATTAGCCTTTCTAAAATGAAATGTAACCTTTCCCTCACATTTCATCCTCTTTCTAGCAAGTCTGGCAAAGCTAGTACTGAGGATGTCACTTCATGTGGCTGACTTTCAAGAAGCCAAAAACTTAAAAAGAAAAGAAAGAAAAAAAAAAAGATAAACTTGACTCCCAATCCCTCAGTGTAGGGCTCAGTTACCCATCTCTGCCCTCCCAAGCGCAGAGTCAGCAATAGCTCACAGATTTAAAGCTGCTGGCCAGGCACAGGCTCGGTAGGAGGTATCAGGGTCGCACATCATCCCAGAAGAACACCTGCTGCAGCCCTGATTCATGGCAGGCACTTACACCCAGGAGCTGCCACCGCCGCATCCAAACGAGAGGAAGAAATGGATGGGATCATCAGAGCAACGAATACTGCCCCAACAGCTGTTCCTCCACATGTCCTGGCTCACGTGGACAGTTATCTTTGAGCTGCCTTCTTTAAGGCTCTCAGCACAGGCTACCCGTTGCAACAGCCCAGTGACCCAAAGCTCAGCAAAAGGTTAAAAATGCCCCTCAGTACTCCTGTTACACTAACGGCTTTCGGTGTGGTGGCAATTACATCTTATGCTGTCCCAGCTCAGAACCTGTTCTGCACAGATAAAGTAGGTTTTCTACCAATGCTTATGAAACCTCCAATGGTCTAAGGAAGACTTCAAAGGCTAGCAAAGTGTTTGGACAGGAAGGGAGGGTAGACACAAAAACACTAATGACAAAATGCCATCGGTCAGAGGAGGTTAAAGAAGAAGTTAAAGGAAATGAATCTCACTTAGAGGTGACAGCAAGCAATCATAATTTGATTGTCACCACTTAGAGCCTCAAAAATAAATGAGTAGAAACTTGAGAAACAGCACGTGCAATTAATCAATTTTACTGCACAGATTTTTCAGATGTTCCCACAAATAGAAAAATCTCCTCAAGTGCTAGAGTACTTAATAGACATATACAGTATTTATGCACTCACAGTCTGAAAGACTAGAGTTGCAGAACATATCAATCACTTCAGTTTTTTAAAACATTTGCCTGAATACACAACAGGAAACCTATGCTACTTTATAAGCATGGGTAATGAGCCAAAGATTTAAAACATGTGTCTAGTATTGAACAATAAAGACCTGTTTCCTAAACTGCTGTGGTAAGTCAGAGCATAGGTCTCAGACCCATAACGAAAATCAATCACATTTACAGTCAAATTTATATACAACAGTCAAATTTCAGAAAGATATTATTGAGATAGAACAAGGTCAAAATTCACCTTATTGCAAAATCATACCATAAAACAAGGTGAGGTAGAATTTGCGCATTGCTACAGGTGTAATAAAGCTTGTCAGAAGGAAATTAACTCTTCTTATAATACAAAGGTCAAGGCCATTAGAAACACCTGCAACAAAATCTTTGGAAACACAAGTGAAGCAAATAAAAACATCCAAAATACGGGCACACAGTTTCGGGTTTATGTGAGTAAATACTGACTTATTTCCAGCAAGAAATTTCCAGGTTAGTAGCATAGTCTGAAATACACATAAATTTTAAAAATGGATGGATAGAATCCTGTTGACCCTGTGCATAATTATACTCCTACTGGTGTTCCACAAGCCACAGGCTTACAGAGGTTAAGCCTGAAGCAACCCACTTAAAACAACAACAGCAAAAAAAACCTCATCACACATCACAGCTCCACCACAAAACCTCCAACCACGCCCAAAAATACTGTATTTAAACTGAATTCACAAATAAAGCAGCAACTACTATACATTGAACAAACTATCTAAAGCTAGTGTTGAAGTCCCACTTCAGCCTTGGGGATCTCTGATAGCTCCACGGCTGCAGAGCCCAAATACGCTGCACTTCGGTGCTCCAATTCCCTGCATTCCATCAAACGACCTTAAAGTTGGATCCAAAGGCAGAAAAACATTTTCTTCTTGTCCCTCCCCTTAAAAAAGAAAAACCAAAATCTTTGCTAAAGCTTACCATAATATCACAACCTGCATTTATAAACAATTCAACAAAACTCCCTCCACCAGCATTTTCTGAAGTCAGGTATTTTCCATTTTTATTAACAAGTTGATTTGTTTCTTGCAGAAAAGTCTACTTAAAGCCCATATCTAAATCCCCCTCCCTGAGAATAATATTCCTTTAAAAAAGCTATGTTTGTCCCCTTTACTTCTTTTGTTCACTCAAGACAATCAGATTCAGAGACAGAGAACCTAAAAAACAGATGTGTTTTTATAACGTTACACAACACTGCAGAGTTGCCAAGGACCACTACACAGCTACAATTTTTATTCTTTAAAAGAAAAGCAGAACATTTGTTTTGAACAAATGCTAACTTCTGTTTTACACCTGTTCAAAAAATACTGTACATGTTAAACTTGGGTTCTATTAACTGTGCTATATTTGTAGTCATAGCAAACACAGTTCAATCAAACAAAAACCCCCACCAACCAAAACCCCCAAAGCAACAACCCAATGCCTTTGCAAAATTGCACTATATGTTTGGTTGGGTTTTTTTTTTGTTAAGTGTCTAGCATTTTACTGTTTAAAAAAACCCACCACCAATCAGTCCTTGCTTTACACTCGAAGAAAACACTGCCCAAAAACCCCAACTTCTGCTTATTCGCAGAAATGCAAGCCTTCCATCAGTTTGCCTTAAAAATTGAAAGAGTGGATAATCAACTTAGCAACCCTAAAAATCTCAACACTGTACAAGAACTCCCAGCTGGATATTCCAAAACCGAAGATGTTCTCTAAAGCTCTTAGTAACAAAATACACACTTCACAGCAGTGTCATTTTGAGCTTTTGAGTTAATCAATTCCTCCGCTTTTTCCACTGGTTTCCTCACAATATAATCCTTAATAAAAAATACGTAATCATTAGTGAGACAGCCATACTTCTTCCATTATGGAGAGAATTTATTTTTTTTGTGTATATCGTATGGGGAAGGCAATTAATTCACGGCACGTGGCGTTACAACCCAACAACTTCCGAATGGCAGGGGATGCCTGAAGGAAAACCTGTTGCGGCGAGGAAACGAAGATCCCGGAGCAGAGAGCCGACCGCCCACGCAAAACCTCACGGCTCACCGCAGGGTTTCCCTGGGGACACGCCAGTTATGTCACCCCCATGGCCTCTCCGGGCCACCCCACCTGCCACCACCGAGAAGCCCACCACCACCCCCAACGAAGGGACACCGACCACCGCCAGCGACCCCAGCACCAGCTCCCCGCGACCAACGGAGCTTCAAAACTTCCCACGAGTTTTGACAAGTCTCCCGAGGGCTGCCAGCCCTTCCCACCCTGGAGACCGGATACAAGGCCCCAGCGCTCCCGGGACCCCCCCAGGCGGGCGGGCCGGGCGCTTACCGGGCGGTGTCGAGCAGCGGGTGCTTGGTGCCCACCAGCTTGCGGACCTGCATGGCGATGTTGCTCAGCTCGTCGCTCAGCAGGCACCGCAGGCTCATGAAGGACGTCGGGTACCCCACGATCTTCTCGGCCTCCGACACCACTTGGCTCCAGGGCGGACCGACCGACACCAGCCCCCGCAGGCCGCCGGTGCCGCGGCCCCCCCCGCGCCGCAGCAGGGCACCCCACATTCCCCCCCGGGCGCCGGCTCACTCGCCCCGGAGGGACCTCACTGACGAGTCCTCCCTCCTCGCTCGCGGCTCCGCAGCCCGGCGTCAGCGGCCGGCTCAGCCTCGGGTGGCGGGACCGCACGGCAGCCGCCCTGCCTGCCCGCCTCCCCCTCGGCGGCGCGGCGGCGGCCGGAGCGGGCTCATTGTGCCCTGGGGGCCGCCATCTTGGGCGTCGCAAAAACACGGCGGGCCGTAAAGCGAGGGCGGCAGGTCTCGCTCTTCCCCCGCCCACCCGGCTTCCGCGCCTGACGGCCCTGGCGGTACCGGAGCTGAGGGGCCCTGGGTGAGGGAGGTGGGCTCCTGAGGCAGGGTTTCTGGTGGCCACTGGGCACGTTCCCCGTGCCCCCTTTTTCTTCACCCTTAGCCCTTATACTGAGCAAAGGGCTGCCACTCACTCCACTCCACGCTGCTTCACAGAGCGGCGTGTGTGGGCCGGCCTCCCCAGCCCGGCCATGGCAGAGGGCCCAGCTGGAGGGGGGGCGCTCCCCCGGCTGGGCCAGTGCTCTGGGCTGGCTGGGGGTGCCCCACAGACAGGGGTACGCGCAGCCTGTGCCCTGTGGTGCGTACAGAGACCAACGGGGAAGAGAGTTCAAGTTCCCACATAAAGCATTTGACACATAGTCTTTAGGTATGCAGTCACGTTTTATATTTATTATTGCAGTGCTCTCTGCGTGAGCGTCCTTTTTTGTCGTTTCCCGTAGTTGTTTGGGTCGTGGCATCAGCAAGCCTTATTTACTGCATTCTCTACTTTTCCTTGTAGGTTTGATCCTACAGTGCTTCTCTGTGATGCAGCTGAGGGGTTTATGAACAGCCTCCTTGTGAACTGAAGAGGTACTTTCTACCAAGTGGTTAACATCAAAAGTGACAGCTAATTTTGAGTGCCCAGCTGAAGATGTTTGGGTCCTGCGATTCCACAGTGTGGGCTACTGTGTTTCATGTAGTCTTTCATTTGTTCTGAGCACAGCCATCACTTAAACCCTCTTTACAGCTACGTGGAGCCAGAGCTTTTGTGAATTCAGAGAATAGATTTTCTGTGCACTGTAGGGAAGGAAAATTCACTGGCTGTCTTCAGAAATGGGATTTAGGTGACTCGCTCAATTCCACAAGCAAGAACATGATCTCTTGTGTCTTTACAATCACATTACAATCCATTCCTCCTATAACTTCCAGGCTCTATTAGAACAAATCAGGCAGAGTTCTGATGAGAAAACAGTCCCCATTGACAGCACGTAAAAAATGAGGACGTTACATTTCTTACCTTTACAAATACAAGATAGAGGTCACTTTGTTTTGTTTGCATTATTCCACATGATTAAAAAGAGTTACATTGAAGGATACTGTAAAAGAAGGTGCAAATAGCAAACAAAACCATTACAAAGAGAGACCAACTGCAGCCCAGGAAAGCACCAATAGCTCTTGAAGTTAAAGGGGGAGACCTGCTAAAAGGGAATGCCCTTACCTGCTTCTAGTGACAATGACAAGGTGTTTATTGTTCTTACACCTGGGACAACTCGCAATAGGCACCATAATGTCAGGTGTAATGTCACTGTCCGAAGGAAGGGCGTTTGACTGTGGAGTCAACAATGGCTGAACATGCCTGTGGCATCTCTTAAGAGGATTTTTCCCAAACTGGAGAGGGGAAAACTAGGATGAAGAGAAGCTGCAAAAACTGGAAAGATGACAGGAGAGTTAAGGTTCTGCTGTCAAATCTTTGCTTTCTGTGCTACCCGTGTCTGAGAGAATAAAGCTTTTGCTTTGAAGGAGCTGCCATTGAGACAGTTTAGTTAGCTAGTGTCACAGAATAAACTGTTGCTAAATAGGGAGTTTCAGCTTATAAACACAGTCTAAAAATGACAGAATGCAATGGCATGTTTCTGTGCAGAAAAGCTAAGTTAATGAAAATTGCCAGAGGGATGCACTTAAGAGGTGCTAACAGGGCACCTCATCCTGTAATGGTGACAAGTTCCTTGATTCATTTCCTGAGCCATATCCATTCTTGCACTTAATGTGGTAAGTGTTCTGTGCAAAACTTAACATGATTATGCAATTAAAGTCTGCTTAAAATTATATATATAAACTGAGGAGAATTAGGGTTCTGTGGGCAGTAAACCTACCATCTCCTAATGTGTGAGACTTTAGCTTTTCAAAATCACTGTTCTGTGTGTTACAATCTAAGGAACTGAACACCTCTGCCCCCTTTATGTAGAATTCTGCTATGTCTAAATGGTTTAGAAGTAGGGCAAGACCCTCAATATCCACAATGCCACAGGCTGCCACTAGAGCTTCCTCAGGATTCACCGGCAGTAGGGTGATGTTCTTTAAATGCAGCAGTCACTGGAGAAATAAAGCATACATTTTGTCAGTGAGTTTCACAGCTATTTTTGACCACAGAGACTCTTTGAAAGGATTATACTGTAAAACATGAGGACCCCTCTGTCTTTCAGCCCAACGCCCTCATCCCTTTCCTTTCTCTTAACGACGTAGCATTCTTACTTCAGTAGTCCATTTTTGGCTCCTGGTCCAAGTTCATGGTTTCTCCCAACCTTCTCACTTCTTCGCTTGAGTCCCACACACCATCCTTACTGGCTACTGTTTTTTCATACTTGTCCCAGCCTCCTCATCTTTTTCTCATTAACTCCTAATCATCCTCTTGTCTGCGCAGCCTGCATCCTAGTCGTGGACTCTTCTTTTCATACATGTTTATGGGTGGAACTGTGGGGAGCAACAGCAGAACTCTCTCTCAGTTCTTGTGCTCAGCTCCACAACGGCCTCTGTTGCAAGGAAAAGCCATTGCTGGAAAGTCTTGCCCATCCCCACTAAACCTACAGCAGATGTCCATTACTGTTGGACTTTTCAGACAGTGGAATGTGGAAAGACCATTCTGTATTGATCTAATTTAATGGAAACAGTCTCAGACATCCCCCTCCCATCAAATCCCTGGCAAATTCTTTGCCAAATTTCAGTTTTGTAGCATGGAGCTAGGAGAGTTTCTCAGTCATGCAGTCCAACAATATTTTTTAACATGAGCAGGAGGTATTTTTCGATAACCCCATTTTGCAAACTGACTGAACTATTTTAAAAATGGGCTTCAGGCTGACACACCAATTGCAGAAAAAATCTTTACAAATTAGTTAATATTTGACAGTTACAGGCAGGGTCTTGTAATGGGTAGTGATGGACCAACATACCCATAGGCATTGCTGCTTGTGCTGCTGCCTGTAATTTAGAGTTTCTCAGTTTTTCTCTCATAAAAACCCATCAGAAGCGAAAGTATGTATGATGTACTTACCATATTTTAAGTTGTGGACAAAAGAGCGTGTTGTTTTTTTTTTTTTTCTTTTTTCCTTTTTCCCCTTCTTGCCTCATTTCCCCTCAGGATTCGAGAGAAAAACCCACACTATTTCAAGAGCTTCAGTGACTGTACAATGGATGTGTCTATTTCTTTAGAGTCTTAAGTAGAGAAGAAAAATGAAGCTCTTTTATTCTCTATCAGTTGACTTTGTTAAGCCTCCCCAGGAGGAGAAAGAAGCCACTGCAGGGGGGCAGTATCAAAGTTGAAGAACAAAGATGAAAGGTGAAGAGACACTTCTGTTTACAGCAGCATGCTCTGGACTAATATACCAGAGAATACATCAAAGCCACCACTAATGACAGCTCTGGATATCTTTTCTAACAAATGAAATGTGGAAATACTTTCCTGACTGCCATCTAAAGTAAAACAATTGCAAAGCACTCTCATTTGATTTGGAACATTTGACCTTTCAATCTTTCAAAGTTACTCTGGCCTTATCCAAAATAAATGATGTCCGTAGGAGAATGAGACTAGTTAATATGTTATACTGACTATACCCTGCCTATATAACCTCTTCTTCTAGATGTTGCTTCATTTCTTAATATGTTAAAGCTCAGGTGCACTCTAAGGCTGTTTACAAAAGTGAAAGCTAACAGAAATATGTTTGTTCCTTCCAAAGCATCCATGTCATTCCCCCTGCCCTGTACATATAGAGAATTGATTTACTCCATAACATCCTGGGGAAGTAGACAGTGATTTCCATTTTGGAAGTCAGGAAGTTAAAGAGAGGTTGTGTGATTTGTCCAAGGCTTCACAAACCCCCTAAGGCAAACTGAGAAAAGAATCCACTTCGCTTGACCTGGTTGTCTGCGTCTTGACAACAAGGCTGCCTGTCTTCCTACTAGCTGACAGATTACCAAGAAGGACGAAGGTCTTATTGATCCTATAGTTAGACGCTGAAAAAACAACATCGTTTAGCATCAGTTGATTTCAGTCAAATCCCTTGGACAGAATTTGGCACTAAAAGGTATTAATTTGTAAGCCTTAATATACCTACTGAGATACCAGTATCGGAACATGATGTGTTGCTGGCTAATAAATGATAATGAATGCATAATTATTTTGATTTTATGTAACAAATAAATAGATAGAGCTGTGATATGTAGGGATCTATTGCAGGGGTAGGTGTATGCTACCCCTCTCACCCTGCACACGACATGCAGCGATGCAGCAGCTCATCAGGGCAGGGCAGGGATGAGAAGCCGAAGCTGCCGGCAGCTCTCGGCAGCGCTGAGCAGGCAGAGGGACGTGCCCCTCCTGTGCCGCACGCTCACACAACACAGCTCCCTTCTCACTGGCTCGCCAGCTACCACTGCAAAGAAAGCAAAATCAATTGAAATCCCTCCATTTCAGCCAGCTGAGTAGGAACAGGAGCGGATGAGTGTGCGGCTGATAACACCCCTCCTTCCTAGAGTCACTGTTTTTTCACCTCCCAACCCAATTTCAGTTGTAAGACAGCCTCTTAGGCCGTCTCCTCTGATGGGCAGTGCTCCACTCAGGGGAATTTGGACAGAGATTCTCAAAACAGCAATGTTTTGGAGCCGAGTAATCTATAGAAGAAGGAGGAGGAAGATAAGCACGGTGTTAGTTCTGGTCATATGCAATCGAAGCTGACAAAGCATCCATCATCCTGTACAAAATTATCCTTGAAATATTCAGCTTTATCAGTTCTCCCATTCCTAATCCATCATTAACCACCCCATGAAGCTTCAGCTGATTAGCCCCACCTCTGCAGCCTGGCAACATATTAACTATTTATTATTTGTATTTAATTGGACTCTGGTAGCGGTGGAAAACTCCAACCAGACACATTTCA